TACAGGGTGTCTCAAAACTCGCGGATTTCCTTTTAAGTGCGGATTCTTTAGAATATTCTAAGACGAAAATCCTAATACGAAAATGTCGAGGCTATAATAGTTTTTAAATTAGTAGCGATTAAAGTAGGCTAATCACAGAGCTGAAATTTCGCGCGCTCAGGCATGATGATATGACAAATGCTAGAGGTACTACGAGGGCTTTCTTAACAACACCGAGATTATCATTATTTTTCCTAAGAAATTACTTTTCTTTTATATGAAATCTATTTGTACACTAAATAATTAATTAATATCGGAAAATATTAAAGAAATACAATTACGATATTACGTCAACTGTCAAAATGAATTTATAACCATATGTTCATTTACCTCGTATGGTGAATATTTTTGTAATACTGATAGATAAACCATTTTTAATATGAAAAAACTGAAAATGTTAATACAATAAGGCTGCAATTTGTCAAATTAACCTATTTAATCCAAATGTGTTTATATCAAATTAACGGTAATTATCGTTAATTAAAAATATAAAAATTAATAGATTTTTAAATTTTGTATTCTTTTTAAAGTTTAATTTAATTTGTATCGGCTTTAATATGTATTACACTGAATACACACATTACAAGACTAATTACATTAATAGAGTAATAACTTTTTTTATTAGTTTTACACTTAAACATAAACAATAAATTTTCTTATTAACTTCAAGTTTTGTTTTATTATTTTAAAAATGGTTTATCTATCAGTATTACAAAAATATTCACCATATGAGATAAATGAACATATAATTATAAATTTATTTTGACAATTGATGTAATATCGATCGTAATTGTATTTCTTTAATATTTTCCGATATTAATTAATTATTTAGTGTACAAATAGATTTCGTATAAAAGAAAAAGTAATTTCTTAGGAAAAATAATGATAATCTCGGTGTTATTAAGAGAACCCTCGTAGCACCTCTAGCATTTGTCATATCATCATGCCTGAGCGCGCGAAATTTCAGCTCTGTGATTAGCCTATTTTAATCGCTACTAATTTAAAAACTATTATAGTC